CGACGACGACGACGACGACGACGACGACGACGACGACGACGACGACGACGACGACCTCGGATTTAGACCCTTCAGCGGTTAGCCCCTTCGAATTTCCTTCCGGCCGGACGTCTGGCCGTCAAACGCCTGTTGCGATTCTGATTGTGTGCGGGCCCCTGGGAAAGCTTTTGGGGACCTCTTGGGTGGTTCTCGGGGCTCGTGTCGGTTCTCCTGGGAGCTTTCCAGAGGCCTCGGGAGACTCTGGGGGACACTCCAGGGGCTATCGGGACCTCTTGGGTGGTTCTCGGGCGACGACGACGACGACGACGACGACGACGACGACGACCTCGGATTAAGACCCTTCAGCGGTTGTCGTGGCCTCTTCGAATTTCCTTCCCGTAATCGGCAGGGTGACTCGGGCCGTCTTGGCGGCGCCTCCCGTGGCCCACTTGGGGCTCTCTGCTGAGCCTCTTGAGGGATCCGTTGGAAGCTCTTTTGGGCCGTCTCAGGGCTCTCTGGAGCCGTCCTGGGGCCCTCTTGGGCCGTTTTGGAAGGCTCGGGCTGTCTTGGGGCCATCGTGGGGCCGTCTTGGGCTCTCTTGGGGGCCTCCTGTGGTCATCTCGGGGCTCTCCTGGGAGGAGCCTTTTCGTGCCCTCCGGGGCCCGTCTTGGGCTGTCCTGGAGCTCCCTGGGGCCGTCTTGGGGCCCTCTTGGGCCGTCTTGGGGCTCTCTTGGGTGCCTCTGGGGCAGTGTTGGAGGCTCTTCCGGCCGTCTTGGAGGCTCATCCGGCCGTCTTGGACGCTCTGCCGACCCAAAAAGCGAGTCTGCCAAAAATATACGTTTTCCGAAAAGAATGGGGCGATGTGTTGGCTCCTGGGGGCCCTTTGGGGGGCCTCAGGGGTCGGCTTGGGAGCGTCTGGGGTCGTCCTGGAGCCGTCCGCGGGGCGTGCCGCGTCGATCTGGGGCACTCTTGGACTGTCCGCTGCGCGCTCGTGGCCGCTCGGAAGGCTCGGCGGCGGCCCCGGAGACCGCCCAGGCGGCCCGAAGCGCTCGAGGGCCCGCTGGGAGCGGCCTGGAGGGGGCCGATTCGCTGCTACTGCTCGCCAATCCGGGGAGCCGTGAACGCTGCATTGTAGGATAGACTAGGGCTGACCCGTGGGCTAGTGGCCACGAAATCTGTCCGAGATGGCACGTGGGGCTAGGGCAGAGATGGTGCAGAAAGACTTTCGTGATGACGTTGGGCCCGAACTCAGCCTCTGGTGTTGCTGCCTGCAGCTGCAGGGTGCTGCTGCCTGCGGCATGTTGCTGCTTCTGCGAATTTTGGTTGTAAGTTGCCGCTGCTTGCTGCGGACTGCTGCTGGTCGCTGTTGCTACTTGCAGAGTGCTATTTCTTGGTACCCTTGCCAGCTGACGCAACCTGGAGCTCGTGAGTGGACCGAGGAGCGAGGAGTCAGGGTCGAGGGAGCGAGGAAACGAGGAGCGATCAGCAAGGAGCAATGAGCGAGACGGGAAGCAACGGTCGAAAAGAGGAGAGAGATAACCCGAGGAAAAGAACCCCCCCGGGGTTATCGTTAGCACCGCACCAGGATTTAATATTTCCAGGGGGGCGTTTCGCAGAGCGATATCTTTAGCACCTCGCACAAATCAAATAATAAATTCCGTGGCGCGTCGCGCGCCGCGCAAGAAGAAATCCTTGGAGATGCCTTTGGGTATGCTGTGCATTTCCTAGGACATGTTACAGACCAGCAAAGGATTGCCTAGGGAATCCCAAGGATCCGAGACTCCTAGGAGATGCTAAACATCCCTCACATTTCCTTGAAGGCTGGGGACATGCGAAGGACATGCTCAGGATATCCTGGGGGGCTACTATGACTTTCCGATGGCATGTCATGGATGTCCTGCGAAATGCCAGGGATTCCCTAGGAGATGCGCTCAGCAGGGGCTAGAAAAGCTTGGCATGGGCTGAGCAGGGCTTAGCAGGGCTCAGCAGGGAGCAAGCCTGGATTATCATTGCTTAGCAGGGCTTAGCGGGAGCTAGCAGGGCTCAATAAGGCTTAGCTTGGCCCCGAGTGCTCTCTGCGGGCTCCTCCAGTGCCGAGGTAACGTTTCCAGGGTGCAGGTTGCGTTATACTTTCACCGGATGAGGGCGGGGGGGTTCGTAAGTGCTTCCTGGGGTTAGAGAGAGAGAGAGAGAGAACAAAAAAAACGAAACAATATAGAGACAGAGAGGACAACATTAAGAGATAGAGAGAGAGAGAGGCGAGGAGGGATGATAGAGAGAGCCGAAGGAGGGGGAGGCAGACGCCAGTAAGAAGAAGAGAGGGGCCAGGAGAGAGGTGGGAGGAGCGAGAAGGAGTAAGGAGAGAGGAGCTAGGAGCGAGGAGAGAAAGGCGAGGAGCGACGAGAGAGCGGCCAGGAGCGAGGACCGTGAAGCAAGGAGGGAGAAGGGAGGCAAGAGAAGAGGCCAGCACACGCACGTCTCGATGGCCTCGGCGCGCGTGGCCTCTGGTCTCCTCTTGGGTCGCCGCTGGGGCTCTCTTGGGTGGCCGGCGTGGTCCCAGGCCTCTCTAATGGAGCAGGGGATCGAACATAATTGTTTTAGCCCAGAGTTGACCAGTCAGTCGACCAGTCAGTCGATCTACGGAGCAGTGTAGGTATGTTTCGTAGAGATCGACGGGACATCAATGTTGGGATACATCAACTCTTTAGTCGATCCCCTACTCGATCTAAGGGATCTTCCCTCGGAAGCCTCTGTGAGGCGGTTTGTGAGGGGGGGTCTGGGGCATGTCGGGGCCCTCGGGGGCCTGACTTGGACCTTGTGCGGGCCTCCTTAGGCTTCTGGGGAGCTTCTTGGAGGTCTGCTGGCGGTCTCGGGGACCATCTTGGGCAGGAGGGTGAGAAACTCCACAGTCAAATCCCCCTCATGGGGCCCTCTCAGGTCCCTCTTGGGGCCAGCGTGGGCTGTTTTGGGCTTTCTCGGGCCGCCTTGAAGCCGTCTTGGGCTGCCTGGGGGCCCTCTTCGGGGCCTGTTGGGCCGCCTTGGAGCGATGGGAGCCTCGTGGGCCATCATGCAGCATCGGAGGCCCGAAAAGGCGAGAACGTCGACATCCCTCAAAATCCATTGGAGATCAATGGTTTGGGCTTTTCTGTGCCCTCTTGGGGGGCCTTATGGGACTTTCTTGGGGCATCTTCGGTGCCTCCTGGGCCGTTGGGGCCGTCGTGGGCGCCTCTTCGGCCGTCTTTGGGCTCCACTGGGCCGTATCGGGGGCGTGACCCGAGACCCTCTTGGGGACCTCTTGGGTCTCCCTTGGGGGGGCCGTCATGGGCCGTCTTGGGTCCCTCGTGGGCCGCCCTGAAGCCTTCTTGGGCTGCATGGCGGCCCTCTCGGGGGCCTTTTGGGCCGCCTTGGGGCGATATTTGGGGCCTTTGGGGCTATCACGTAGCATCGGAAGCCCGAAAGGCGAGAACGTCGAAACCCTTCAAACAGCAACAGGAAATCACCCGCTGGGCTGCCTTAAGGGGGCCTGCCCCGAGGCCCGCAGGGCTGTCGGAGCTGGCCCGGGGGCGCTTTTCGGCCTCCCTGGGCCCCTCTGAGACAATAAAAAGCGATTGGTGCACAGTACCTTCTCGCACGCAGAAGTTCCGATTGTAGAAGAGACTAGCGCGAACCCGTGGAAAATCTACGGCTGGCAGGTCAAGGTGTCGGTCCCGAACGCGCACGTGTTGGCGACGCCGAGATGCCTGCACGTCCCCTCCGTCACCCAGAGCCGGCTGTGCGAGGGCCCCAAAACGGATGGAGCTTGGAAGGAAGGCGGCAAGGGGAGGAGTGGGGAGAACGGAGACAGGAGCGGGGCGGCCCCAGAAGCAGCAGACGGCCCCCAGAGCGGCCGAAGCGTCGAGGAGGGAGAAGAGGGTCGTGCGGATCGTGCGGACTAAATCGGTTCGCGAAGCCCCGAGGGGGAAGAGGAGGAGAGGCAGGAGGAGGAGGAGGAGGAGGAGGAAGAGGGGGAGGGGGAGGGGGAGGAAGAGAAGAGAGAAGAACGGGGGCAGGAGCTCTGTCGGGCCGTGTTTTGGGTCAGCGGCTCTGTTCAAGGCTCCTGGGAAGCCACAAACTGCGAAAGGTGGGGGGGGCGGGAGGCTCTCTTGGGAGCTCCGTCGGAACCATCGGCGTCTCTTGGGATGCTCTGGAGCTGTCTTCGGGGCCTGGGTTTTTCTTTGAGGCTTCTGGGGTTCCAGAAACGGCGAAAGGTCGGACCCTCTTCGAGTCCTCCTGAGGATCTCTCAGCAGCCTCTGGGGGCCCTCTTGGCCCCTTTGGGGGCCTTCGTGGGCCGCCTCGGTGGCCTCAGGCCGTCCTGGGGCCCTCCTTGGGGCTCTCTGGCCGTCTTGGACCTCGCTCCGGTGCCTGTTGGGCGGCTCCTGATGCCCTCTTGGGGCTGCCAGGGGCTCCAGGAGGCTGTCTTGGGCTTCTGTTGGGCAGTCTTCGGGCCCTCTGGGGCCGTTTTGGGGCACTTGGCGGGGCCTCCTACACCGTCCTGGGGAATCTCACATGGCCCTGGAGCCGTCTGGGGCTGCTCTTAGCCCGAAATGGCGAAAACATAGAGGACCCTCGAAAACCAACAGAAAATACATGATTTTGTCATCGGGGGACCGTCATCGGGGCCCGGTTCGGCCAGTTTCGGAGGCACCTGGCCCCTCGTCGGGTCGTCTTGGACTGTCATGGGACTCCTTTGGGTTCTCTTAGGCCGTCCTCGCGCGCTCCAGAGCGTCTCAGAGCTGTCTTGCAAGGCTGTCAGAGGCCGTCTTGGGACCACCCAGGGGCTCTCTGGAGCCGTCGGAGAGCGCCAGGGCGCTTCGGGCGCTCGGGGGCAGCTCGCAAACTTTTCGCCCATTGCGCACAAAACAACCGGAATGGTAGTACAGATGACGTCGGGCTCCAGCGTCACCTCACACATCTCGCTCAGCAGCGCCAGGGCGGGCTGCCATTGCTCGCCCTTCTCGCACGCGCTGATCCCAGCGCTGTAGCTGACTGGCTTGCACCCGTGGAGCAAATCCGCATGTGCCCTGACAGGGGAACGCGGCGACACATCTCTGGGCTATCTTGGGTCGTCTTGGGCGCCTCTTGGGCTGGAGGCCGCCCAAGGAGGACCAGGAACCGCCCCCAGATGGCACCTTGGAGGCTTTCGTCCCAGGGCGCCAGAACCATGTGAGGAAACAGGGTCGCATTTCCTCAGATGGTTCCAGCTTCCGGGCGCAGGGCCGGGAAAACGAAACACGTCCTCCAAATGGCACTCGGGAGGCCTCCTGGCTCTCTGGAGCCGTCTTGGGCAATCTCGGGGCTCTCGAAAGCCGCGTTGGGATCCTCTTCGGCAGCTTCTCGGCCCAGGCTGAGGCGATCCTGGTGCTGGGCCGTCGTGGACGCATGCTCGACATATAAGAGAACTTTGCAGAAACACACTAGTTTTGCACCTGAAGGCCCTGCTGGGCGTACTCTTGGAGCGCTCTGGGAGCCTTTTGGAAGGTATTGCGGCCGTCTGGAGGCCGTCTTGGGCCCCCTGAAGCTGTCTGGACGCCATCTTGAGGCCGTTCTCGGCCGTGTCGGAGGCATCTTCGGCGAACTTGGAGGCCTCTTGAACTCGCTTGGGCCGTCTGGGAGGCGCAGGCCCTCCTGGCGGGCCCTCCTGGCAGGCCACCCCGGGCGCTGCCACCAGAGCAATGCACCACGCGCTGCTCCCAGTATTGTAGGATAAACCAGGTCGAAGTCCACGGCAGCCAGGTCGAAGTGGGCGCGCCGATGTCGCTGACGCGAGCAGAAGAAAGAGAGGGAGGGCGGCACCAGAGAGAGGGGGTGGAGGCTCCCAGAGGCAGAGGAGGAGGAGGAGAAGGAGGAGGAGGAGGAGGAAAAGGAGGAGGAAAAGGAGGAGGAGGAGGAAGAGGAGGAGGAGGAGGAGGAAAAGGAGGAGGAGGAGGAGGAGGAGGAGAGATGAGGAGAGGAGAGGAGAGGAGAGGAGAGGAGAAGAGAGAACGGGGAGAAGAGTTTTCTGGGGCCTCGTTTGGTGGCTAGGTCGTTCTTTTGGGGTGTCGAGGCAGTCTCCCCTGGCCCCCCAATTCGCCCGCAGGGGAAGGGGGGCGAGGCTTGGTGCAGGGTCCGGAGGCCACCTGGCGACCCGCGGAGCCCATCGGGGAGCGTCCCAGGGGGCGCTCCGGAGCGGTTCTTCCGCGACGCCCACTCGCACGCGCCGCGACCAGGATTGGAGCACAGATGACGTCGGACTCCAGCTTCGCCTCCCGCATCTCGCTCAGCAGCGCCAGCGCCCACTGCCACTGCTCGCCCTTCTCGCACGCGCTGATCCCAGCGTTGTAGTGGACGCTGCATTCTAGTAGAGACTAGCGTGTACTGGTGCTTGCTGCCACTGGCGGCGGGGGTTGCCGAACTATGGGTGTCGGGGGCCGTCGTGCCAGAGGGCACGAAGAGGGCCCCCCCCAAGAAGGCTCCAAGAGGGCCCCAAGACGCCGCGGGGCGCGGGATGCCTTTCTGTGGCAGAATGCACCCGGCCCTGTCGTGGAGGGGCCCGAAGGCCTCAAGAGGGCCGCAAGACCCCCAGGGGGCCCCAAGAGGGCCCCAAACCGCATGTACTTGATATGCTTCTTGGGCTTGCGAGAGGGGCACCCAGGTACGTGCGTCATAGGGCCTTGTCGGGGCCCTCTAGGGGCCCTGCTGGCCCCCTCTGGGGGCCCCTCGGGAGCGCTCCCAGCCTGTCCTGGCCCCCTCTTGGGGCCGGCATGGGCGCCTGAGGAGCCGTCCTGGCGCAGTGTTGAGCCGTCTTGGGGCCCTCCTGGCAGCCTCCTGCGTCTTGGGACGATCTTGAGGGCCTGTGTGAACGTCTTGGACGCTTCGAAAAAGAAAAGTACGGGAACTCCCGAAATGGATGTTTTCCCTAGGGGCGGAGACGGTTTGTCCTTGGTCGGGCTCTCATGGGCCTCTCTCTGGAGCCCACTTGGAGCATTATGGGGGCCTCTTGGGCTGTCGGGCGGCTGTCTTGAGCGTCTTCGAGCGCTCGGGGCCTGTCTCGGAGGCCCTCTTGGATCGTCTTCGGCCGTCTTCGGGCCCTCTTGGGGGCCTCTGGGGAAGGCTCGGAGCGCTCTGAAGCCATCTTGAAAGCGCGCCAGGGTCGCTGGGACCTCGGGAGCGCTCCCAGCCAGTCCTGGCCCCCTCTTGGGGCCGGCATGGGCGCCTGAAGAGCCGTCCTGGCGCAGTGTTGAGCCGTCTTGGGGCCCTCCTGGCAGCCTCCTGAGGCGTCTTGGGACGATCTTGAGGGTCTGTGTGGCGTTCTTGGACGCTTCGGAGACGAAAAGCACCGAAACTCCCGAAATGCACGTTTCCCCCAAGGATTGGACCGACTTTCCCTTCTTCGGGCTCTCCTGGGGCTCTCTTGGGAGCTCACTTGGAGCATTTGGGGACCCTCTTGGGCCGTCGGGCGGCTGTCTTGGGCGTCTTCGAGCGCTCGGGGTCCGTCTCAGGGGCCCTCTTGGACCGTCTTCGGGGCCGTCTTTGGACCCTCTTGGGGGTCTCCAGGGGCGGCTCGGAGCGCTCTGAGTCCATCTTGAAAGCGCGCCAGGGCCCCAAGGCCGCGGCGGTGGCCGCCGGAGGGGGCCAGTCCACGGCGACTGACTGCTCGCCCATTTGGCTAGCGGTGAACGCTGCATTAATGTAGAGATGACTACTAGGGACTAGGGCTGACCCGTGGTCTATGTACGTCCATTTGCGGGGGGAGTAGGATGTGCCGCCAAGCGCGCTCGAAAAGGATACGCCCCATGTCCGCTTTCCACGTCTCGCTGGCTAGCGGGAGCGCCCGGTAGTGGCACTGCCGGTGTCCCCCGCCGCCGCCGCGCGGGAAGCCGCCAGCCTCGAGCATCTGTGAGAGAGCGGGGAGGTGCCGTAACCGGTGTTGGTGGTGGTCTCGGGCGTCGTATGCAAGAAGCTCTGGATCGGCGCGAGCCGCTGCCCAGACAGAGGACGATATTCAACCCGGGGGCGGCATTGTAAATTCTGTCCGCGGTCGGTGTGCCGAGGCCTCAGCGCCCGACCCGAAGGCCGCGGGCATAAATTATCACTGTCCGCGGCAAGGGTATGTGGAAGGCCCCTGAAGCGGTCTGAAGCAATCGAGAATCCCCCAAAGGGAGCAAGCAAAATTTCGTCGAACATCGACTGAAAATTTTTCAATGTTGCGTCTTCAAGCTCACTCGGACGTCCCCTTGGGGCTCGCTTGGCCCAGATTTCGGCCTCGTGGGGGCCTTCTGGGAGCCCACAGGAGCATGTTGGGGGTCCCTAGCCCTCTAGGTACCTCGTGGGGCCTCGTGCGGGCCGTCTTGGGGCCCTGATGGCGACCTCTTGGGCACCTCTTTGAGCTCTCGGAGCCCGTCTTGGCGCCCTCTTGCGCCGTCTTGAATTCCTCTTGAACTGCCTTGGGGCCCTTTGGGGGGGCCTCTTGGGCTGTCTTGGGCTGCTGTGGAGGGCCCCTGACGCCGTCCTGTGTGGTCGGGGACCCGAACATGCGATCAAAAACCTAGGGAAGATTGTTGGTTGTTGCCTCTTGAGGCTCTCTCAGGAGCCCTCTAAGAGCATTATTGGGGCCTCTTGGGGGCTCTTTCAGCCGTGTCGAAAACATCTTGGACATCGGGGGCCCTCCTGAACGTCACGGAGCCGTCTTGGGGCAGTCTAAAACCGGTTTGAAGCACTCTGGAGGCTCTCAGGACGGCCACGGGGCCCTGCGGAGCCGCCCCAAGCCTTGTAGGAAAGACTAGTGTGCACATGTGGAGCAACTTTGCAAGTGCCCTGGCAGGGAACGCGGCGGGGCCCTCTCGAGAAAAATGCGTTCCCGGGTGAACTGGTCTGTTCCCCGCTGAACTGGTCCATTCCTGGCTGTCAGTTCTGCAGATCGTGAAGCTTCCGAAGATTTGCAACCTTGTTTCAAGCGCTGCTTTGCAGCTTTTAAGGCGCGCCCTAGCATCGTTTCACAACGCTCCTTGGCAGGTTTCATGGCGCTCCTTAGCAGCTGTTAGGGCGCTCCGTATGTAATAGCTTTGATGGCGCTCCCTAGCAGCTTTTATGACGCTCCTGGGCAGATTCTAATACACTCCTCAGCAGCTTTTAAGACGCTCCGTACTAGTATCCATGGCGCTTCTTAGTAGAATTATGGTGTTTGGGGGTAGATGGTAGAAGTTAAAGCGCTCCTCAGCAAAGGCGCTCCCTAGTCCCTAGCAGTGCCCCCCCCAAAAAAAACACACACACACACACACACACACACACACGCGCGCACGCACGCACGCACGCACGCACGCACGCACGCACGCGCGCGCGCGCACGCACGCACGCACGCACGCACGCACGCACGCACACACGCACACACACACACACACACACACACACACACACACACACACACACACACGCACACACACACGCACACACACGCACACACACACACAAACGAGAAACAACAACAACACAACGCTCCTGAGCAGGTTAAAGGCGCCCCCATCAGTTTTTAAGGCGCTCCTCAGCAGCGTGCAAAGCGCTTCTTCGCAGCTTTTAAGGCGCTCCTTAGCAGCCCTTTCAGACGCTCCTTGGCAGCTCCTCAGCAGCATGTTAAGCGCTTCTTGGCAGCTTGTATGGGCGCTCCTTGGCAGCATCCAAGGCGCTCCTCAGCAGCTCTTACGGACCTCCGCAGCAGCTTTTAAAGCGCTCCCTCGCAGCTTTTAAGACGCTCCTGATCAGTTGTGCAGGCGCGCCTCATCAGCATTTACGGCGCTCCTCAGCAGCGTTAGAAATGGTCCTCGGCAGCATGTCAAGCGCTCCGGGTGGATGCCAGGATCTGTTGGGATGCCCCTCGGGGGCCTCCTGCAGGACTCTTGGGGGCCTCTTCATCCCTCGAGCCTCTGCGGGGCATGTCGGGGCCTGCTGCGGGCGCCTCGTGAGCCTCTGGGAAGCTATTCGGGCCAACTTTGGCGGGGAAGGCTCAACATGAGAATGTGGGTTCCCCTTGTGGGGCTCCCCTTGTATAGGTTTCTCATATGATGCGACGTACGTGGTACCCACGTTTTCGATACGTCGCGCATGCGTTGCGCGCACGCCTTTAATACGCTGCGCGCACATTCTAAACATCTGACACGTTTGTTGTATACGGTTCGTGGGCGTGTCGTCTGCGGGATGTGCACGTGTTCAATGCGTTATGCGTACGATGTGCATACGTTTCATATACGTAGAACAGACATATTGCACGCGTGCGCTTTATATACACTTGGTGCGCGCGTCGTCTACGTTTCGCTTGCGTTCCCCATGCTTATATATATAGATATACGTGTCGCACGCGGGGTGAGCACATTGTGTATACAATTCGTATACTTGTTGGGTGCGTCTTGGATATGCTGTGTACGCATTTGATATACGTTGCGCATGCGTGCCGTGATAGTGCCGTATGCTGTGCTTGATGCGTACTTGACACGTATCGCATATGCTTTGTAGCAGTGCGTCTACGTTCCGTATGCGATGTGTATTCGTGATTGATACGTCCCAGACACATGTCGTATACGTTCGGCATGCGTATGTAGCATCCGTTGGGGAGCCTCTTCGGGCTCTCTGGGATCCCTCTTGGGGCAGTCTTGGAATGCACCTGGGGCTCTAGCGGCCATTCTCTAGGCCATCTTGGGTCGTCTTGGGCGCCTCTTGAGCCGTCTTGGGGCCCTCTCGAGCCGCGCCGCCAGGTGATTAGAGAGAGAGGCAGAGACGAGGAGGCATGAGGGAGAGCTGCGTAGCAGAGGGTAGGCAGGCGCCAGAAGCCAGGGGGGGCCAGGAGAGAGGCGGAAGGAGCGAGGAGGCGTGAGCACAGAGGAGCCAGAAGCGCGAGGCGAGGGGCGACGAGAGAGCGGGGAGGAGAGAGGAGCGTGGAGCCAGAAGGGAGACATGAAAGACGCCAACACACGCATGCCTCCGTGGCCTCGGCGCGCGTGTGGCAGTACCTCTGGTTTCCTTCGCTTATGGAGCTCTCTTGTGTGGCCGGCGCGGTCACAGAGCTCTCTGGGGATCTTCCCTCGGAAGCCTCTTCGAGGCGGTCTGTGGGGTGTCTTGGGGGCCTCTTGGAGCCCTCTTGGGGCCTTTGGGGGCCTGGGCTGGTTGTCTTCGGAGCCTCCTGGGGTTTCAGGAGGCATCTTGCGGGGTGATGGTGGTCTCGGACGTCATCTCAGGGCGCAGCGCGCGAAATATCAATTCGAGGTTCCCCTCTTGGGGGCCTCTTGGGGCCCTCTTGGACCGTCTTGGGTGCCTCTTGGGCCACCTTGGGGCCGTCTTGTGCCGTCTGGGGGCTCTGATCTGACGGGGGCCTCTGAGGCTGTTTTGGGAAAGTTTTTGGGGGGGGCTCTAGGCCTGCTGGAGCGCTGGGAAGCCCCTTCAAAAAGCCAAACAGTGCACGTTTTCCTTCGGAATGTGTGCGATGTTGGCCTTTCGGGGCTGTCCTGGGGGCCCATGGGGCCATCTTGGGCACCTCTTCGGCCGTCTTTGGGCTCCGCTGGGGCGTGGCCCGAGGCCCGCAAGGCTGTCGCTGCTCCGGGGGCGCTTTTCGGCCTCCAGGAGCCTCTCGGAGGCAAAACGCAGAGGTCCCTGCATTGTAAAAGAAATAACGTTGGGCTCTAGCTTCACCTCGCACATCTCGGTCAGCACCGCCAGCGCCCACTGCCACTGCTCGCCCTTCCCGCACGCGCTGATCCCAGAGCTGTAGCTGACTAGTGCGAACCCGTGGAAAATCCACAGCTGGCAGGTGAAGGTGTCGGTCCCGAACGCGCATGTGTCGCTGACGCCTGCGGGTTTGCTTCGGGACTGTCTTGGGGGCCATCGAGGGCTACGAGGAAGGTCCCCCCTGTCACCCCCAATCGGCCGCCTTGGGCAGCGCTGGGGCAGTTTTGTGCGCGTCAGGGGCCGTGCTGGGAGCCTCTGGGGCTGCACTGGGGGTCGTATCGTGTATGTGGGGTGTGTGAGGGCATCGTTGGGCTGTTTTGGGATTGCTCAGGGGCCTTCTTGGACCGCCTTGGGGCGCGCTCAGGGGCGTCCTGGGATGGGCGGGCGTGTTTTGGGAGTGCCTCGGAATCTTGTTGGGCCGTTGTTCTTGGAGGCAACCGGGGAGCCACACCGTTGTCGAGCCTTGGTTTATATTAAAGGACATCGTCGGCTTACTCTGGTCGAGGCCTGTCCGGGAGCCCGTCTTGGGCCTTTTTGGAACTCTCTTGGGCCGTTTCGAAGGCCCCGCGGGCCGTCCTGGGGCCAAGGTCAGGGTCTTGGACCGTCTTGGAGCTTGCTTTGGGGCCTGTTCGGCAGCTCCTGGGGCCCTGTTGGGGCTATCTTGGGGGCCACCAAAAGCTCTATGAGAGTACCGTGGGCCTCTCAGGGCCAATCTTGGGGCCCTCTTGGGCCGTCTCGGAGCTCCTGGCGGGGCCTCCTGGACCATGTTGGGGAGCGATCGGGGGTTTCCTGGGACGGTTCGGGCGTGCGGGAAGTGAGGAAAAGAGAGAACCCGGAAATCATCGACAAAAAATGAAAGAATCGTCCATTTACTCCCGTCAAGGCCTGTGTGGGGACCCTCTCGGAGCCTTCGAGAGCGACCTGGGCGCTGCTGGGGCCGCCGGGAATGCAGCGTCGGGCCGCCTAAGGTGGCGCTTCGGCCGTTTTGGAGCTTTCCTGGGCCGTCTTGGGGCTCATCGGAACGCTCAAAAGCAGCCCCAGACCACCGGAGGCGCGTCCGGGGGCCGTGAGCGCGGTGGGGGGCCACGCCTGTTTCGCCTTTTATTAGCAGGCTCTGATCCCAGCATTGTAATTGTAGCACTGATGGCGTTGGGCTCCAGCTTCACCTCCCGCATCTCGCTCAGCAGCGCCAGCGCCCACTGCCACTGCTCGCCCTTCTCGCAGGCGCTGATCCCAGCGTTGTAGCTGACTGGAGCTGACCCGTGGACTACCGCCCACGAGGGCCAGTGGTCAGAGCACCCTTGCTGCTGTTCATTGCTTCAAGGTGCGTTGCTTTCTTGATGATTCTGAAGGCGTCCAGAGCAGCGCTAGCAGCTTCAGCGGCAGACGATCCAGGGGCATGGGGGAACATCAGAACCAGTTGCTTTTCCTCCTTTTCTTGTTCCTCCTCCTCCTCCTCCTCCTTCTCTTCCTCCTCCAAGTTTTCCCCCCTTCTCGTGTTTGGTTCGTCCTCGCCCTCCTCCTCCTGGTCCTCGTTCTTTTCCTTTTCCTCCTCCTCCCCCGCCTCCTCGTCCTCGCGTTTGGCCTGTTCTCGTGCTTGGGCTCTTTTTGCTGTTCCTCCTCCTCCTTTTCGTCCTTTTGCTCCTCCTCCTCCTCCTCTTCCTCCTCGTCCTCCTCCTCCTCCCCCTGCATCAACATCATCATCATCGTCGTCATCCCCGCCACCACCATCACCACCGCAATCACCATCAGCATCGGCATCTTCCTCATCAGCACCAGCATCATCTTCATCATGGTCCACATCACCACCATCATCATCACCATCAGCAGCAGCATCGTCATCAACATCATGGCGTCCTTTTTGTCGACAGTCGCGCGCCAAAGCATTATGTGTGCGTGTGTGCGTTGGCGCAACTATCAGGCCTTTCCAAGTTGGCAGCTCACTGGTGGCCACGGCGCGCTGATCAGGCACGCAGAGGGCCACGCCTGCGAGCACGCGGGGGCCCCGAGGGGCCGCACCAACGTGCAAGCAGCACTGGCCACGTAAGGGCCAAACCAGCGGCACCAAGCCGGGGCCCACAAGGGGCCGCACCAACGCGAGGGGCCACCGAGCGCTTTCCCACCAACGGCATGGGGGGACCTAGTCCCGAGCCTGACCCTGGGCCAATGCGGCCCCAAAAAAGCCAGGTCTCAAAAAATATCGCCCCCACAGTCCCTGCGGGGGAGACCTGAAGAATCTTGCAACGGCACGTTTGACGGCCACACCTGGCCCAACGCCGAGACGGCAGCAGGAGACGGTTGGGGGCAACTTGTGGGACAGGCCTCTGGGCCCGGACAGCTACGAAAGAAACCGTCGAGTTCCCACTCACACTCCCCGCCGCACTCCCGTGCAATAGTGTAAACCAAAGGGCGCATCCCCCATGGCGCGTTTTTTCTCGGCAGTCGCGCGCCAAAGCATTATGTGCGTGCGTTGGCGCAAGTATCAGGCCTCCACCAGCTGGCAGCTCAATGATGGCCGCGGCGAGCTGATCAGGCACACAGAGGGCCACGCCTGCGAGCACGCGGGGCCCCGAGGGGCCGCATCAACGTGCAAGCAGCACTGGCCACGTAAGGGCCAAACCAGCGGCACCACGCCGGGGCCCACAAGGGGCCGCGCCAACGCGAAGGGCCACCGAGCGCCTCCCTACCAACGGCATGGGGGGACCCAGTCCCGAGCCTGACCCTGGGTCAACGCGGCGCCGAAGGGCAGGGTCTCAGTGGCCACCACCTCCACACTCCACATTTCCTTGTTTTTCTGGCTAACAAGCCGCATGTGGTGAAATGGAGGCACTTGCACCTACGCGCCTGCCAAGCCCTAAGGCTGACCTTGCACTTGCAACTACCCAACGGGCAGTGAACAATATTCACATACACACACATGCTTCCGCCCTACCCCAGGATGGCAGGCGCAAAGGTGGCTTCCTGGAGCTTCACAAGGGCGTCGGTGATATAGGTTCGGGTTTTTGTAATGTTGCCCCAGCGCCCTCTCGTGGCGGCTCCAGTGATGCCCCCCCGCATTCGAAAGTCTCGCGTCGCTACCTCTTCTTAAGCTGTGCGGCTTGAGCCCGCACGCCGGCAACCCTCATACAGGAACTGACGGAAGCATTTTGTCTTGGACACGTCGAGTAGCGAGCAATAGCCGGCAATAGCGCGCAACACTGCGCTCTCGCGCGCGCGCGCAGGCGGCGGCGGCGACGACGACGACGACGACGACGACGACGACGACAGCGGCGGCGGCGGCGGCGGCGACGACGGCGGCGGTGGCGACGACGACGTTGGGCGGCCTGGAGGGCGCACTGCTCGCGCGGGCATCCAGCCCGCGGAGGCGGCCAGCCAGGCAGCCGGCCAACCACGGCCAACGAGCCAAGCCCGCCAATCCAACCAAACAGCCGCCCCAGCCAACGCGCAGAGGAACCAACGCTCTCGCTCGACACTTCCTCACGACACGCGGACGTCGCGGCGTCAGGCGGAGACGGCGTCGGCCGACTCAAAATATGCAGTAGCAAGAGGAGGGGGCGGGGGAGGAGGAGGGGGTGGAGGAAGAGGACGACGACGAGGGGGAGGACGGTCTCCAACCATTCAGCCATCCACCAACCAGACAGCCAGCCAACCAACCACAGCCAATCAACCAAACCCACCAATCCAACCAACCAGCCACCGCAGCCAATCGCAGAGGAACCCACGCTCTCGCTCGAGACTTCCTCACGACACGCGGACGTCGCGGCGTCAGGCGGAGACGGCGTCGGCCGATTAAAAATAAGTAGGAGGTGGAGGAGGCGGGGGAGGGGGAGGACGACGACGAGGGCGGGGGCGGTCCCCAACCATTCAGCCATCCACCAACCAGACAGCCAGCCAACCAACCACAGCCAACGAGCCAAGCCCACCAATCCAACCAACCAGCCACCCCAGCCAACTCGCAGGGAAACCAACGCTCTCGCTCGACACTTCCTCGCGACACGCGGACGTCGCGGCGCCTGGCGGAGACGGAGTCGGCCGACTAGAAATAAGTAGTAGTAGTAGTAGTAGTAGTAGTAGTAGTAGTAGTAGTAGTAGTAGTAGTAGTAGTAGTAGTAGTAGTAGTAGTAGTAGTAGTAGTAGTAGTAGTAGTAGTAGTAGTAGTAGTAGTAGTAGTAGTAGTAGTAGTAGTAGTAGTAGTAGTAGTAGTAGTAGTAGTAGTAGTAGTAGTAGTAGTAGTAGTAGTAGTAGTAGTAGTAGCAGCAGCAGCAGGCAGCAGCAGCAGCAGCAGTAGTAGTAGTAGTAGTAGTAGTAGTAGTAGTAGTAGTCGTAGTAGTAGTAGTAGTAGTAGTAGTAGTAGTAGTAGTAGTAGTAGTAGTAGTAGTAGTAGTAGTAGTAGTAGTAGTAGTAGTAGTAGTAGTTAGTAGTAGTAGTAGTAGTAGTAGTAGTAGTAGTAGTAGTAGTAGTAGTAGTAGTAGTAGTAGGTAGTAGTAGTAGTATTAGTAGTAGTAGTAGTAGTAGTAGTAGTAGTAGTAGTAGTAGTAGTAGTAGTAGTAGTAGTAGTAGTAGTAGTAGTAGTAGTAGTAGTAGTAGTAGTAGTAGTAGTAGTAGTAGTTAGTAGTAGGAGTATGAACAGCTAGCAGCAGCAGGCAGCAGCAGTAGTTAGTAGTAGTAGTAGTTAGTAGTAGTAGTAATAGTAGTAGTAGTAGTAGTAGTAGTTGTAGTAGTAGTAGTAGTTAGTTAGTGTCGTAGTCGTAGTCGTAGTCGTCGATCGTAGTCGTAGTCGTAGTAGTCGTAGTTGTAGTTGGAGTGTAGTAATAGTAGTAGGAGTAGTAGTAGTTGTAGTAGGAGTAGTAGTAGTAGTAGTAGTTAGTATAGTACTAGTGTAGTTACTAAGTGTAGTTAGTAGTAGTAGTTGCAGTAGTAGTAGTTAGTAGTAGTAGTAGTAGTAGTAGCAGCAGCGAGCAGCTACTAGCAGCAGGAGGAGAGAGTAATAGTAGTATGAGTAGTAGTAGTAGTAGTAGTAGTAGTAGTAGTAGTAGTAGTAGTAGTAGTAGTAGTAGTAGTAGTAGTAGTAGTAGTAGTAGTAGTAGTAGTAGTAGTAGTAGTCGTAGTAGTAGTAGTAGTAGTAGTAGTAGTAGTAGTAGTAGTAGTAGTAGTAGTAGTAGTAGTAGTAGTAGTAGTAGTAGTAATAGTAGGCACCTGTGCCGCTGGGTGCCTTTGTGGCGCCCCAGGAAAACAGGCGGGTTGGCATCCCGATCGTCTCCACAGCTCGACGGGGCTGCGGGAGAGACTCTTGCCCTGTGGTTGGCCAGCCACAGTAGGTGCGGGCCCGCCGTACCACCCCTGAGAGGCCCGATGGGGTTACTCGTAGGGGTCCCCCGACGTGGGGGGCGCGGGAACTTAAGTCCTTGGGCAGCGGGGCCTCCGCTGCTTGAGGCCGGCGGCCAACTGGGGGCGGTGCCGGTGGCAGTGTCTCGGGGTGGCATCTCGAGGCACCTCGCAACGGCGGCGCGGATAACGCCGGGGGCGGTCCGTGCCGCCGTTCGTGTTGCGAGGTCCGACTGAATGTGAATTCATGCAGGCACCTTGGGCACCTCCCTTCGGGTTGTGTCGCCCAGGGGTTCTGTCCGGGCACCAAAATAGTAGTAGTAGTAGTAGTAGTAATAGTAGTAGTAGTAGTAGTAGTAGTAGTAGTAGTAGTAGTAGTAGTAGTAGTAGTAGTAGTAGTAGTAGTAGTAGTAGTAGTAGTAGTAGTAGTAGTAGTAGTAGTAGTAGTAGTAGTAGTAGTAGTAGTAG